GGAATGCAAAACTGGACTCTGAGTAGGAATATCTGCTTTGAATAGCTTATTTAAAGGCTTAAAATAATCAGCATAGAAGGAGGGGAAAAACCAAAGCCAAACCAACAAACCAAAACCCTCTCATGGCTGATCTCTCACCTGCTCTTCAAATGAAATCACTCTAGGCTGTATCTTTTCCAAGGTGAAGTGGTAAATTTCTTTGGCTGTGCTGTCAGGGAGACTGGGAAGATGGGTGCAGAAATCTGTCAGCAGCTGACGGGAGATCACTAGGCTGACATTCTCATTCACCACTGGTTTGGAGATACAAGGAAGAAAAACAGAGTGGAAGCAATGCCTGTCAGTGCCTTTGCTGTAAGTGATCATTTCCTTTTACACTCAGTTTTAACATTTTGATTTTCAAACTATACCAAAGCAAAGGGGATTTTTTATTTGTTTTTAAAGGTGATTTCCTTTCTTTCAGGAACTTTACACTAGAGGTCACAGGAGTTCCAACCCCTGACAGAGAGTAATGAATTCTTCACTGTGATTTATACAGTTTCACTCTGAACTGCTGTTCTCACTTGCTGCAATACCTTGGACATAGAGTAAACCTTTAGGCTAAACCTCACTAAGTTTATTCTCAACTTTAAAAACATTACAACAGGTGTGATTTACAGAGGTGTTCAATAAGCCAAACAGCCAATACAACACACACACAAAAAAAAACCCCGAAGGATTTCTTTTTGACAGTTTTGCAAATAAACATGAGGCAGGGGAGGAAGTAGGTTGTGAGTTAAAACACCACTTGGCATCCAGTATCAATTTTAGCAATCAGCAGAGACTGATTTATGTTCTCACCTTCCAACACTGACAGGTTGGAAAGCTTTAATAACTTACCAAGCTTATAAACCCATTCCCTCTTAACTTCTCAGTCTGGGGGTGATGGTTCCTCTCCTAGTTGTGTTTGAGTTCCAACAGGACCCAAATATCATGTATTTATCTCATGCAGAGCTAACAAACAGGCAACCCCACAGACCTGTGGCCTTTCCTCAGTGTGCCAACAGTTATCCCAGGTGCACTTACTTGCTTCTACAAAGGCTTTCAAAGCTTCCAGTTGTTCCACACCCGACAGCTGAATGGCTTTTTCCAATATTTGACGATACCTGTCCACAGAGTTAAAGACAAATAGTTAAAAAACACTCACAGAGCATATTTTATCACTATGTTCTGCCTCTCTGCTTATTTTCTATGTCAGAGGCCTCATTCTGTTTATATTGTCTATACCTAGAGGTGGCAATTTTCTAAACAGTTTGTTCTCAAATGTCATGAACATTCACCTGGAATTGCTTTCTGGCTCTTCCTTAAATCCCAGAACTAGATTCTCAGATAACATAGCTCATCATTTTGTTATCTGTGACTATATGACCAGTTTTGAAGGTTTTACAAATATAATCACATCCCTAGGAGAGTGCACCGAAAAAGTGCACCAAATGAAAACTGTATCACTCTTGGATTTAGACTAATAGTCAAGTGTTGGAAATGTCACATCCAATGAGACTGAGAAACAGTGTTGTGAGTAAATAGTATCTTAGAGCCACAGGACATGAACACAGGCACAGACTATGCATCTTCAGTGCTTATTCCTGCAAAAATAGCAGGAATAAACACTGTGGTCATAAAGCTCATTAAACTTCACCTCAGTGCATGCAACAGTGGTGAAATTCTACATTCACAGTGAAGCCACAGTTTGAGCTTTTACACGGAACAGCTAAGAGTGACTTGGCTCCCCTGGAACATGGAACTGGGACTCAAAGGATTTCAGGGGACTGATCAGCATCTGAGTGGACTCCCAGGGGGGAGTGAAAACCTACGTGATACGTTGCCCTGTGAGCAGCCTGACCCCCTGGGTTTGCCACCCAAAACAACAATACACACTGACACATACATCTACAGCAGCCAAGAAAAATACACTGCCCAATAGACTTGGGGCTGCTCAGCATGGGGAAGAGAAGATCGTGCGGAGACCTCAGAGCAACGTCCAGTATCTGAAGGGGCTCCAGGGAAGCTGCAGAAGGACTCTGTGTTAGGAGCTGCAGTGACAGGACAAGGGGCAATGGGTACAAATTGAAAGAGGGAAATTTAGGTCAGATATTAGATAAAGTTTTTCCCTGTGAGGGTGGTGAGATACCGGCCCAGGTTGCCCAGGGAGGCTGTGGCTGCCCCAACCCTGGCAGTGTTCACAGCCAGGTTGGATGAGCCTTGAGCAACCTGCTCTGGTGGGAGGTGTCCCTGCCCAGGGCAGGGGGTTGGGGCTGGACGATCTGTAAGGTCCATTCTAACTCCTAAAATTCTACATGATCACTGTCGTAGCAGCAGCAGCCGAGCAAACACGCGAGACTCCACATTCACCAATAAATCAACACAAACCTACACAACCACGGGACAAAACCTTGTTTTTAACCTTCTCTTTACACCAGCACGAGCGCCTGGCAGGACCCACCCAGACCCTAGCGCACCCCCCTCCCACTCCCAGGGCCGCTCGCCCCTTTTCACCCTAGATCACTCACTTTCCCGCCAGGTCCTTGTGGGAGCCGCTGGAGTTCATCAGCTGCGCCAG